TAAATAAATAAATAAAAAGACCTGAAAGTAGAAGAGAAACTATTTGGGAAGTAGAAAGGCGCTGAAGAGAAGAAAGAAGAGAGGGAAGGACAGAAAGGGTAGAAAGGAAGGTGGACATGATCTAAGCATGGTATATGCATGTATGAAAGTGTCACCGCAAAACCCATTAATGTGTCCAAATAATCTGTGTAAATATTATAATATTTAAAACATGTATAGACTTTTGTGTCCATCTGACTATATTCAAGTCGAGATCTGCCATAAGCTGATTCTGTGACTATGGGCAGGTTACTTAAACTCTCTGATTCCTAAAATTTTCTCGCTTGTAAAAAGGAATAATTACAACATGTAACTCAGAGCATTATGAGGATAAAATGATGTCTGTTGTATATTATATTATGAGGATAAAATGTCTACTGTGTTCATAATGATGCTTATAATGTACATTGTTTTTATTATGGCTATTATTTTAAGAGAACTGGGGAAATGCAATGAAACTAACAAGAAGAGGGTCACATTTAATCCCGCTTATGTAACTGCAATCATCATTAATAATGGATTACGTGTTTCTAGGTTTTTTTGTTTCATAAATGAATACCTAAGTATAGTCAAATGTATAAAGTTGAATTATTTTTTATTAATTTAAAAATAATTGACTTTGCCGTGACCAATAATATCCTTACAAATAGTTTTAATAGTTGCATATTTAGTCCCATCATGTGTATATTCTGCAATTTGTCTTGAATTGTTTACTACAATAAATATTTGTGATCTGTTAATAATCCGATTATACACATTTTGGTATCTATTTGATTAATTTATTAATGTGAATCCACGGGAAACCAATAAGTTATTGAATATTTAAAATATTAGCATTTTAAGATATAGAAGCCCTATAATTTTAGTTTACAGCAATAGTGTATGAGGTTTCTGGCTTCCTTGTTGCTAAGCCTACGTATCATGAATACATATATTTTTATATTCTCCAATTTAATGGTTTCTACACAATATGGAGCAATCATTTCAATTTGAGCCTTGGATTTTTAACCTGTAAAATTAACTAATAGATACAGAATTTCAGAAATATAGTCACAGATAATAAAGTTGACATTGATTCCAGAGCCTGTTAATGCTCCATATATTTTTTTTATAATTTTTAGTTGTAATTGGACACAATACTTTTATTTTATTTATTTACTTTTATGTGATGCTGAGGATGGAACCCAGCATCTCAGACATGCTAGGTGAGCGCTCTGCTGCTGAGCCACAGCTCTACTGCTTCATATTTGAAATGAGTTCAAATGAGAACGGATCATGGTGAGGTTGGGCTGACCCTACAAGAAGCTGAAGTGTGAAACGAGGAGCCCTTCTGTGGCAATGTCATGACTGTCTGGAATGTTCGAGTGTCATTCAGACTGGCAGATTTCAATCCAGGGAGTGACTTGGAGAGCAAATGGAATTTGAACTTCTCTGATTTTTATTATTTTCCATCCTGTTAACTGCGTGTTCCCATGCATCTTTATTCTGTTAACTAATATATCTTAAGCACTTAGAAGAGGGCCTGCCACTTACTAGGGGTTCAACAATAAATATCTATTGAACAAATAAATCAACTGAACGAAACTCCCCTGGGCCTGTCAGGAGATGGCACACTTGGCACCCCTCACGTGGCCTTCGGGGTCAAGCACAGACAACCTGCCAAGAACAAGGCCCCTTGATCTGGCGTCTTCACTACGCCACAGTCTTGTCCTGCTGGCACATTTGCTCACAGATGCTTACCACCTGCAGCCTGATTGAGATTCCGTGTCCTATGCTGGACACCACACTCCGAAGTGTGGGGTCTCCATCTCTAGCCCACCATTGATGGGCTCACTAGCGCCCTCAAAGGGTAATATTATTTCTGATTCTTTGGCAGACTTCTTCATTCCTGCCCAGTACAACACCTTAGGGGGTGGTTGGACTATAGTATAGGACATCAGATATCATGCTAAATAGAGACCCACTTTTCTAGGCAATACGATGAGAAGGTTAAACCTGACCAGGCTGGGCGCCAGACCTCAATTCAAATCTGAGATTCACAGTTTACTGTGTCACTCACATGAGTCACTTTAATCACTGTGTTCACTGTTCTTATATGTAAATGAAAATAGTAATACCTGCCTGCCTTATGGGATCAAAGTGTGAATTGAATAAATTAAGACAATGCAAAGTAAATAAATGCTAAGTGCTATTTTGATCATTGCTAGTAATAATAATGACATCATTGAGAACTTACTATGTGCCCAACACCATGTGTTTATTATTTCATTAATTGTTTAAAAGCTCTGTGCACATTATCATATGACTAAAGATATTAAAGATTCGAAAGTTTTAGTAAGAACATAATATCCTATAGTCAGAGTGTGGTACTGCCTATATTTAGATGTAATTGTGTCTGAAATAGATGAATATATTTCTCTTACAATTTGAAATATCTGTATTATTGTTGAAAGTAAAATTTCTCATATCTGATCTTTAACCAAAACCTCCAACCTCAGAACCATTTTTTT